GCCCCCCACTTCCGTTCCTTCTTCAGTTCTCTCCTTTCTTCCTCCCTCTCCCTCTTACGATTTGCAGCCTAATTGTGGTTAACTCTGTTATTCAGCGACTTATTATCCAAGCCCACTATGAGTCATTATTCAGTCTGGAGGGGAAACAGTGATGTTACTCCTTTAATTTAATGCTTACCTAGTTCATTTAATTAGCAGTAAGTTTTGGCAAAAATGGTGGAATTCTTGGGCTGCTGGGTGGGTGGATAGGAGACTCTGCATGCTATCCTTGAAAAGATGGGCAAAGTCTTGACAGAGTAAGGAAAGCCCCAAGGGACACTACCAGTGAACTGGGCAGAACTGTTGTCCAAGTCAAGGAAGCCTTGAAAACAAAAGATTGGAGATTACATGAAAGGAGAAGTGCCTTCAGGGCCGCTTAGTAAGCTGTGCAGAAGCCAGCTGCTACATGGGTGCTAGGTAAACTTTTTTTTTTTTTTTGGAGGCAGGGTTTCACTGTGTATCCTTGACTGGCTTGAAGCCTGCTATGTATATAGACCAGGCTGGCCTCTAACTCACAGAGAGATGCCTACCTCTACTTCTCAGTGCTGGGATTAAAGACATGTGCCACCATGCCCAATTACACCTTATTTCTTATGTCTGCCATGCAGTATTTGTATCCAAGATAATCTCAGTGTGCCTGCCTGCCTTTGATAATTCAACTTTTTTTTTTCAGCACTGGGGATTGAACTCAGGGCCTCATACATGTTGAGCAAATTCTCTGCCTCTGGGCTCCATTCTCAGTCCCCTTTGTACTTTTTTATTTTTAGATAGGGTCACACTAAGTTGTCCAAGCTAGCCTTGAACTCTTGCTAGCCCCAGCTGACTTCAGACTTGCTTAGTGGTCTGTATCAGTGATTGTCCACCTGTGGGTCATGACCCCTTTGGGATCGCATGTCAGATGTTTACATTATAATTCACAACAGTAGCAAAATTATAGTCATGAAGTAGCAATGGAATAATTTTATGTTTGGGGGCCACCACAATGTGAAGAACTGTATTAAAGGGTCACAGCATTAGGAAGATTGAGAACCACTGGTCTGTATAGTCCTTATTATACTTGCAATACTCTTGCCTTAGCTCCCTAAGTAACTGGGGTGACAGGAATGTGCCACCAGGCATGGCCAATAGTTCAACTCTTGTGTAGGAACTCGTCCTCTTCCAAGAAGGCTTATGTCATTTCACTGTGTTAAGAGTAAGCATCCCAGTGGGTACTGATATGGCTCTCTCTCAGCTCAGGGCTGGGGTAACAATCCTGCTTGCAAAGTCAACATCACTCATCTTTGACCTCTTTACAGTTTGCTTTGCCAGTGGCAGATGAGCTAGAGTTTCCACAAAGGAAAGTGACCTCAAGTTTCCATCACAATAAAACTAAATGATACTTCATACAACACAAAACAAAAACTAGTGGGGAAAAAGAAGTTGAGTGAACACCCAGATGTGGCGAGCACTCCAAAGGAGCGAGGAAGATGGAAGCAGAGCAGTTCTGTCCTCTGGGTTAGCGAGAGGACCAGCAGGCTGCCTGCTCTGCTCCATGCCTGGAGAGCTTGAGTTTCCCATGAGCAGTCACAAACCAGCTGTTAAACCCAAACACCACTTCAGCATCCTTCTCAACCCATGGCTCTGGTACCCACCATGGAGTCAGCAGCCTCCTACCCACGCTTCCTAGCACTTCCTCCCAGACCCCAGGTTCCAGTCCAGGACATCTGGGGAAGTCTCTCTCGCCACATCTAAGAACCTTTGCTGTATCCTAGGCTGCTGTTCTCTTCCAGCCCTGGGTGATCCGTACAGCCCCTTTTGTACCAGTGGATACACCGAGGCCAAAGGACAGCAGTTGCACAACCAAGCTGAAATGGCTTCCCTGGGTAAGAGCTAAAGAATCCATGTCTGCCCTATCTTGGAGCCTGGTAGGCAGGGCTCTTCCTAAAGGTGTAACTGCCTGCCACCCACACCTTCTCACCAAGAGTCAGGATAGGCTTGTCCTGTGTTGAAAATCATGTCACCCTTCTCAGACAACTGTGACTGTTGATAACATTCCTCCCTGGGGCCGGTGGAGGCAGAAGACATAGGTAAGGTAATGTCTACCCCTTCCTAAATACCAGGAACAAACCCAAGCTCCATTCTGCCAAAGTTCACTCTGGGGAACCAGTAAGTTTATTGGACCTTACAGATCATAGCTGAGGGGTTACTTACAGGGGTGTGGGTGCTCCTTCCCCAACAGGCTGTACCTGGAAAGCCTTACCCAGCAGAGATGAAGGCTCCCCCATTCAAAGATGGAGCCTCCCTTCTCTAGTCTTCCAGGACCAATATCCTGTAGCCCCCTCCCTGGAGCCATATGCAGTTAAGACAGCATTGCATGCAACAGGAAGTAGGGATAAGCTGTGTTCTAAGGGTCCTATGACCCTCCCTCCCCCTCCACGAGGGGCTGTAAACAGTCAACAAGCCCAGCTAAGAAAATCCTTTTGCAAGTAGGCGCAGCTGAACTCCCCAAGATTTTGATTGCCTGGCTCAGAGGACAGTCAGGCATGCACAACAGTGTCCTTGTGTGCAGGTGTGTATCTGTGTGTGGGGTATGTGTGTGGTGTTTGTGTACACACATGGCAGCCACAGGAAGATATGGGTGTTCTGCTCCATCCCTCTGTCTTACTCCCTTGAGCCAGAACCTCTCACTGAACCTGGAGGTAGGCTGGAGACCATGAAGTCCCAAAGCTTCTCCAGTCTCTGCTCCTCACAGAGTTGGGGTTATAGGCATAAGCACAGCCACACCTGCCTTTTTACTCAGGTTTGAACTCATGTCTTCACATTTGCCGAACACTCTTACCCTCTGAGCCATCTCTTTGGCCCCGAACTGTGTCTTTAAAGGAGCCTGGGAACAAGACAGTGGCAGATGGTCCACAGAAGTGTGCCACCATGTTCCCCCTGTGGCCACTCCCAAGGATGGGGGGCACTGCACTCCAGATTGAACATTCACACCTCCCTCTGCCGTGGTAGAACCCACAGGCATCTCAGGGCCAACATTTGGTCAGTGCAGCCATCCTGGGATGCTTTCCTACTCCCATTCAGGCAAGGGCTGCCCTAAGACACCAGTCAACAGAAACAAAGAAACTCCGGAGTCAGCAATGGTAGTTCATGGAGCACTTTTATTGGTGGGTTGCAGCCCTTCAGAGCCCAGCCTTGTGGCTCAAGCCAGCCTCTTGCTTACGCGCTCATAGGTCACACCCCCAATGGTGGAGATCTGAAAGAAGAAACCAGAACAGAGGACATCAGTGCTACTCCCCCAGGCAGCGGCCCTGAGGTGATCATGGGGTGTAGAGGAAGCAAGGCCAGCCACCATTGCCATTGCTAGTGGATGCAAGGCAGGCCGCACTGCATTCTGGGGCTTAGATTCCGTGTCAGTTACAGGAGCCACTGCAGAGCAAATGTGGTCATATGCTGAACAGAAGCAAGAGTGATGGGCTGGGGGTATGTTAGCCCCTATTCTACCACTGCTCCCTTTTGACTCTTGCATGCCAGGCCCCTCTTCACATTATCCCCATCTGTAATTCCCAAGAGCCCCAGGGGGTTGTTCTCGTTATACAGGGGAGCAAACTGAAGGTTGATTCAGCCTGTGAAGATTAAGTCCTGTGGACACGAAGCTTCAAGTCTCCTGCCCACAGCTCTCCCTGCACACCTCAGGCCTGGGAACCTTGGGAGTCAGGACCCACTGGCTGACATTTCACTGGTAACTCTCATCAAATCTCCCAATGGGCTAGTGTTCACCCAGATCAGAATACGCCTTTGTTCTTTTCATGTGTGTGGGCGCCTGTGCCATGTGCGCACAGGGGTCGGAAGACAGCTTGCAGGAGTTAGTTCTCGCCTTCCATCATGTGGGTCTCAGGAATCGAACTCAGATCCTCAGACTTGGTGGCAAGCAATTTATCCTTTGGACCACCTTTTTGTTTGTTTGTTTGTTTGTTTGTTTGTTTCAACACTACTACATTTATTTTCTAGTTCTTATTGTAGTCTTATTGTATCAATTAAATAGTATTGATTTTGGCAGTACTGAAGGTTGAACCTAGAACCTTATGCAAATAAGCATACAGTTTCCATTGAAATATATCCCCTGGTGGTGTATGGTGGTGGTGGTGGTGGTGGTGAGTGGTGAGTGGTGGTGGTGGGTGGTGGTGGTGGTGTATGGTGGTGGTGGGTGGTGGTGGTGGTGGTGGCGGTGGCGGTGGTGGTGGTGGGTGGGTGTGATTTGAGGGATCAGTGTCTCACTCTAGTCCAGGCTGACCTGGAACTCAAGATTCTCCTGCTTTGGCCTCCAGAGATTACAGGTATTTGCCACCATGACATGATCAGATGTATTTTAATTCTATGAGAAAGAAACATGGCAGGGTGGCAGAGACCCACTGGTCTTCGAGGAAAGGCTGAGAACTTCCTCTAGAAATCAGCTAAGAGGGTCTGCCCCCACAATGTGCTATCTATGTGACCTCAGGCAGGTCACATGCTATCTCTGAGCCTCATAAAGCACCTTTTAAAAATGGAAATAATAGGAGGCTGGAGAGATGGCTCAGTTGTTGGGAGCTCCGACTGCTCTTCCAGAGGACCTGGGTTCATTTCCCAGCACTCACATAGCAGCTAATAACTGTCTGTAACTCCAAGATGTAACACTCACACACAGACATGCATGTAGGCAAAACACCAATGTACATAAAATAAAGATAAATAAATAATGAAATAGAAATAATAGGAAGCTCTATGAACTCACCTCCACCAACTTGTCACCCACGATCTCCGAGGTCTGGTGATAGTTGGGGAAATCTGCCACCACCTTCCCATTCTCCATCTTCACAGTGGCCTGGGAGAGAGACAGAGCATTGAACACAAAGCCTAACAAGGCTAACAAGTCTTTAGGCATCAATTAAGGTCTTTTAAAAATAGCATGTAGGCCTGGCAGTGGTGGCACACGTCTTTAATCCTGCAGAGGCAGGCGGGTCTCTGTGAGTTTGAGGCCAGCCTGGTTCTACAGGTTGAGTTCCAGGACAACTAGGATTGTTTGTTACACAGAGAAACCCTGTCTCGAAAAATAAAAATTATATATATATATATAATTAAAGGCGTGTGCCACCCGCCGCCCAGCTTTTTTTGTTCTTGTTGAGAAGAGGTCTTCACTGGCTCAGAACTCACAGAGATGGCCTGCTTCTGCCTCCTAAGTGCTGTAACTACTAGCATGCACCATGCTCAGAAAATTAGACTATGTTTGTTTGTTTGAGTTTTGGGGTTGTTTGTTTAAGACAGCATCTCTCTATGTATCCCTCGCTGTCCTGGAACTCATTGTGTAGACCAGGCTGGCCTGGAGCTCACAGAGAACCTCCTAGCTCTGCATTCCAAGTGCTGGGATTAATGACATGCACCATCACACACAGCACATCAGCCATTTGTGTCTCAGTGTTGTGTTCCTTTCTAATGGCAGCCATGACCCAGCATTAAAAACACCAAGAAAGAAAGCTTTTCATACTGAAGGCTAAACTATAGACAGAAGCCTCAGCCTGGGGAGCAGAGGAGCCGTATCTGAAATGGAGAAGCTAGCCTTTGGCCTGGGGGGACAGGAAAGGGCAGCCAGGGGCCTCTCACCTTGAACTTCTTGCCCCCCATGGTCTGCATTTCACATTCTTTGCCAATGGTGAACTTGTTGGTCATAATGTTGCCCCCAGCATAAGACTGGGTCCAGGTGAAGTCTTGTCCATCCTGCTGGACCTCTGTGATGATCTTGAAGTTACGTCCCTTTTCAATCACATCTCCTGGAAGGCCTGGGCCCAGTGACAAGCAGAGAGTTCACACGGGATCTACTTATAACCCTGCAGGTCTAATAACAGTGTCTGAGACATAGCTAGCACATGGTTCAAATCCCAGCTCTGTCACGAGACCCGTGGCTTGAGCAGGACATTGCCCCACTGTCTTCGTTTACAAGATGGTGACAGTAAGGTCTGACTCTTAGAGCCATTGTGAGAATTAAATTCAATGTGGTTGTGTCTCTGCAGCACCTCACAACTACTTGGTGCTCTTCAAAAATAGCAAATCTTAGGGGCTGAGGAGATGGCTGAGCAGTTAAGAGCACTTGTTCTTGCAGAGGACCCGGGTTCAATTCTCAGCACGCACATGGCTGCTCACAACCATCTGTAACATTGTGGTACACAGACATACATAGGAGCAAAACACTCATATACATTAAAAAAATCTAAATTTAAAAAATAATAATAATAATAATAGCAAATCTTCCTACAGTAATATACCAATATAGCAGAAACTTGCAAAGCCCAGAAAGTTCTGGAATGGATGCAGTGCTCAAGATTCAGTCTTCTAATACTTTTATTCTACAGATGAGAAAATGGAGACCTGGAGCTGAAGAGAGACCACTGCTCTTGCAGAGCTCCAGGGTTCAGTTCCCAGAACCCACAGGCAATTTACAACCATCTGTAACTCTAGTTGCAAGAATCTGGTGCCCTCTTCTGGCCTCTGGGGACATCAGGCGGTTACATATATATAGGCAAAACTCATATAAACACATATAAAATAACACATATAGAAATAAATTTCAGCACACATACACACACACACACCAAAGAAATGAAGACCCAGAAGGGAAAGGAGCTTGTCCCCAAGGCCTCGGGGACAAGGCTCTGCTCTCAGGGCCACTCTGACACCACAGATGTGACCACAAGAGGAAGGCCCACAGGTCTCATGGAGCTTTCCTTCTTTTCTTCTTTTTTTTTTTTTTTTTTTGGCAAAGTTGCCAAAGTGCCCTGAGGATGGCCTTCGTTCCTCTGTCTCCAGAGTGATGGGATCATAGGCATTCATGACAATGCCTGGATTGTGCATTGCTGATGATGGAACCAGGGCCTCATGCATGCTAGGCAAACCCTCTACCAGCTGAGCTACATCTTACATCTGCCCCTTGACAATTGTGTGGCCTCAGTGCTAGTGCACGGAAATTTTGATAGGCTTCTCAGATCTCTAACAACAACAACAAACATGTGAATGACTAGAGATCAAATCTCTACTTCACCTGTCACTACTATGTGACTTGGAATATTAATGTGACTTGTCTGAGCCTCAAGCTCAAACTGGAAATACGAAGATACTAGAAATGGTAAGATTCTAAGTCTTTTCAAATCGAAGGATGTCTTACAGCTTCTATTATCCTTGGAGACAGGACAGAATACTCAGCAAAAGTGAGGATGGATGGATGGATGGATGGATGGATGGATGGATGGATGGATGGATGGAATTCTGTCCCACTCTACCCCAAGGGTTTAGGTTCCTATCCCAGAGCTGGTTGTAAGCAGCCAGCCCCAGGGAAGGGATATAAAGGAACTCACCCAGGCGCTTCATGAACTCGTCATAATTCTTCTCACTCTCAAATTCGAATTTGCCGCTGAAGGCCATAGTGCTGGGAGATAGCTGGCAGCAGAGAGCAGCGAGCTGAGGAAGAAGGTTGGTCCTGAGGAGGCTGGAGTCCCAGTTTATAAACACTCCCAACTGCCAAGGCTCAGCCCCAAAGTCACCCCACTTCTCGGTCCTGCCCCTAATCAGGAGGTGTTTGCTGTTTTATGATATGGGCAGGACATGGAGGGGCAGAGCCCTGAGGTTATTCACCCTGGAGAAATCACCTGCAAACCCACTACCGCTGTCAGCAAGGTCAGGGCCAGGACTGCCATTGAGTGTGGTCGTTCACCTCTCTGCTCATCCCACCCTCCATTCATCCCTACCATGCCTCTTTCCCATGCTCTCCTCATCCTTCGCTTACTCGTTCTAGCCTTCATTCACCAAGTACTGTGCATTGAACTGTATGTGGTGACCCAGAAGAATGAGGCATGCGTCTTTCCCAGGAAGCACCCAGGCCAACTCAGACCCAAGGCATATGTGTGTGTGTGTGTGCGCGTGCGCGCAATGTGTAAGCTAGATGTGATCTGTGACACTTTACAAATGGAGGCTCCAGTCTTTGGGGTGACGGCTGCCTGCTTTGCTTGTTGGGTGGCTCCTGGGCCACACAAAAATAGCAGTGCAATGTATCTACAAAGGCCCTCATCAGCATCTTCATCATTACTACTTTAATTACAAAGTTTCGGCCAGATACTGTGGTTCACATCTATAGCCTTAGTATTTGGCAGGCTAAGGCAGGAGGATTGCCATAAGGCCAACGACAGCATGGGATACAGAGTAAGGTCCTGTTTCAGAAACAAACCAAAAGCAAACAAATAAAAACTCTCCTTTTCTGGGGTTTCCTCTCTATGAGAGCCCATCATTTCTGTTCAAAGCAGAATTGACCACAGTTGCTGACTCCCAAACCTGAGACTAAGTGGTTTCTCTGTCTGTCCCCGACCCCTCTCTCTTTCTTTTGAGTGTGTATGTGCTCATGTGTGCCGTGTGTGTGTGTGTGTGTGTGTGTGTGTGTGTGTGTGTGTGTGTGTGTGTCAGAAGGCAACTTTCAGAAATGGGTTCCCTGTCTCTTCTACCATGTGGGGCCCAGAGATTGAATTCAGGTCAAGCCTGGCAGCAAGTGCCTTTCTCTGAAGAGCCATCTCACTGACCCTCAGTACTTTCTAAACTGATGAAAGTCAGCTTTGACACATGCTTTCCCATTCTTCAGTCTCCAGTCCTAGAATTCATTATCCCAATGAGTTTTTCCTTTCTTTCTTCTTTCTTTTTCTTTCTTCCTTCCCTCCTTCCTTCCTTTCTTTTCTTCTCTTCTCTTCTCTCCTCTCCTCCCCTCCCTCCCCTCCCCTCCCCTTCTCTCTCTCTCTCTCTCTCTCTCTCTCTCTCTCTCTCTCTCTCTCTCTCTCTCTCTCTCTGAGACAGAGTCTCAAGCAGCCCAGACAGGCCTCACACTCCCTGTGTAGTCTAGGATGACCTTAAACACCCAACCCTCCTGTCTTACCCTCCCAAAAAGCGGAACTACAGACACACACCAATACGTTTAGTGTTTATATCATTTTAAATTGCTCAGTGGTAGAGAGCTTGCCTAGGATGGGCATGGTCTTGGGTTCTATCCACAGCACCACAATCAATCAATCAATCAATCAATCATATTGTAGTCTATGGATAATTTACTTTCTATCTGGATCTTTGGGTTGTTTGCAATTCTCTTCTATTATAACTAAGTAATTATTGTTAATACCTCTAGGTGTATATCAGAGAATGAGCTAGGACTACTGCTAAGGATGGATTCCTAAGCAAGACAGGGGCCATATGACTGGGGTGAGGGGAAAGGTCCCAAGGGAGACGGTAAGGAAGACAGTAGGGCGACATGGAAGGGACAAATACTGGGATTAAAGGTACAATGGGGAAGAGCGCTAGAGGGATGAGAGCTGGGGGGCGGGGGTGGGGGGAGAACCAACCAAACTGAGATACACATGAAAGCCCTGTATGTTGAAGAAACCCTTATTGTTTTGTACAACAAATAAAAAAAATAAAGGGTGGATTACTAAGCATAATATTCCTGGAACAAATCGCTCTGAGACAAGGTGTCACTGTGTAGCCTAGGCTGGTCTTGAACTCAGAGATTTGCCTATCTCTGACTCCCAGGTCTGGGATTAAAGGTATATGCCACCACACCACACAAAAAGGGTCTTGTATTTAAAATGTATCTAGAAGGGCATTGTGGTGCATACCTGTATTCTTAGCACTTGGGAGACTGAGACAGAAGGATTATCCAGAATTTCAGGACAGCGGGTGCTCCAGAGTGAGACACTGTCTTAGAAAAATAATAATTGATTAATTTAAGAAATAATAAAATAGGGCCAGCAAGATGGCTCATTGGGCTAAGGTACTCACCACCAAGCCTGATGGCCTGAGTTCAATCCCCAGGACCCACACGATAGGAAAAGAGAACCAACCCCAGCAATGTTGCCCTTTGGCACACATGTGCTGTGGCATGTGCACACACACACACACACACACACACACACACATACTGTAGGAGACTAGCTCCCACATTTATTTACCCCAGGGACTCTTGAGGAGTGAGGGGTAAGAGATTTAGATAGAAATATGAATGGGAGAAACAGATAGACACACAGGATAGCCTCGGGTGGGCCTGGATCCTTATCCACTGGCCCAAAACTTTACTCAAAAGGGTTTTTATAACAATGCCAAGGGGAGAGGCCAAAGACCTCCCCCTTGCTAGATACAGCCAAGTGTAGACCCTTCCAAATACCTGGTACCCAGGCCCAAGGCCCAATCATCCTCTTATGCAGTCCTGCTGGGTAAAGCCACTAGGAAACCTCAGTGGGCTCCACCAACAACACACACATACAAATGTACACACAAAATAAATAAGTACAGGGTAATAACTTTTTTAAGAAATAATAAAGTAGTCAGGCGGTGGTGGCACATGCCCGCCTTTAATTCCAGCACTTGGGAGGCAGAGCCAGGCGGATCTCTGTGAGTTCGAGGCCAGCCTGGTCTACTGAGCAAGATCCAGGACAGGCACCAAAACTATAAAGAGAAACCCTGTCTCAAAAAACCAAACAAGAAAGAAAGGAAGGAAGGAAGGAAGGAAGGAAGGAAGAAAGAAAGAGTAACGTATTTATAGCTATCACTGTCATTCAGAAAGACTAGAGTGGTTTACATTCTCTCCCATAGCCATGTGAGAATCTCCCCTCCATAATTATAATGATGATGAAATAACAATGGCAGGAACAGCTAATAGGCATTGTGCATGTATGGCTGATCTCATTCTTTGATTCCTCTAAACAAGTGTGTGAAGTTGCAAACTGAAGTTCAGAGCCGTGGTGCCAGAAGACATGGGTGAGAAGCTGGCAGGACGGACTTCTGGCCTCTCTAGCCCCCATTTAGCTCCCTTTCCACCAGCCTCTCCCAAATGGGGAGAATTGGCTTCTTCCAAACTGCTGCTCAGCATCAAGGACAGGATGGGAGTGGTGAGGTGTGGAACGGACAAGGTTGGCACCCGGGTGCCTGACTCACCTACACTCTCTTCCCATGGTGCATCTGACCTGCCACCCTCCATCCACCCACACCTATATCTTTCCTCTTATTCTAGGGTTCATCTGTTTGAACATTCAGCCTCCAAGGAAGGGTAAATGAACTCCAACTGCAGGTTTTATGGGGCCATTGAACCATCTTCGCAAATATACCCCCGTGGAGATAAGAATAAGCCTAAGGCTACTCCTTTTGGGCACCCCCAACTTCCCACTTGGACTCTGGCTGTGTCTCAAACAGCCACCACTACCCTGCAAAGAATATGCAGAGTAAGGAATGGGGACCTGGGTCCTTGGGTCCCAGATTCTCACATGGACATGTGAACTGTATTTGTCAATTAATTCACTCAATTGCCTGAGCCCCGGGTTATGCATGAGGGAATAGTGATACAGCAGATTGTGTCTAGCTTGACAACTTATCCCCTCCCCAACTCCCTCCTTAGCCCCTAACCTTTAGCTTACTTCCCTGTCTGACCTTTGAACAAACCACTTCCTCCCTCAAGATTCTCCTTTTTTTGGGGGGGAAGGGGTTGGGGGGAGGAGAGCTCATGTAGCCTAGGCTAGCCTCAATCTCATTATGTAGCTGAGGATGACCTTAAACTTCTGCTTCTGTCTCCACCTTCCCAGGGCTGGGGTCACAAGCAGGAGCCATAACACTCCAAGTGGTGCCAGGGATTGAACTCAGGGCTTCACGCACCCTTGGCAACAAGCGCTCTACCAGCTGAGCTACACCCCAGCTCAAGAATGGCTCTGCTCTCCTTCCTTTCAGCAGAGTTGACCCCACTCTCCTTGCTCACAACAACTGACATGGAGTAAACGCCATCTTCTTAGCAACCCTCCAACCACATTCCCACCAGTTGCGGCCACCCAGATCAACTATCTAGAGACTTAGACTGCGACCCAGGATGGCCTGGAACTGACTACGTAGCCCAGGATTATTGTTGGAGTCTAGAATGTCCCCTACGGACTCACTTTTTATAATGTTTTTTATTTATTCTTTGAGAATTTCATGCAATATATTTTGATGGTACTCTTTGCCTCTCCCAAATGCTCCCAGATCCTCCCCTACTCCCCGGCTCACCCAAATTCATGTCTTCTCTCTCTCCTAAAACAAAACAAACACACATACCAAAACCAGCAACAGAACCGTGGAGTCCAGTTGGTGTTACTAACTGCTCCTGGGCACAGGGTCTGCCCTGGAGTGAAGTTGATACACTCAATTTCACTCCATTGAAGAGAAGATTTTTCTCCCTCCCAGAAGTTATCAATTACAAATAGCTTCTTGGTTAAGGGTGGGACTTGGTGCCTACTTCCTGACCTCTGTGCTTGAATTTTGTCTGCCTTGAGCTTATTATGCAGGTCTTGTGCATGCTGTCAACAGTCTCTGTGAGTTCATATATATGCTCACCAGCCCTGTTGGGTCTGGAAACCATATTTCCACCACCTCTGGCTCTCCTGCATAGATCTCAGACAGGCTCACAT